ATAATGGATGTCTATTCTATTAACATTTCTATATCTGGAGAATGGGGCTGTTTTATGGGTTGTCTTCTCCATTCAGAGGGCCCCTGCCTGTCTTTGCCTAGGGCCCCACATTTCCTAAATCCACCCCTGCCCACAGATCCAAATGAATCTGGTCTGTAATTTTAGTCCAGTTTAAATTGGTTTTCATACAATAATTTCCAAAGATGATTTAGAGAGAAAAGTTAAGGAGGGCTTCCTAAAGCGACGCTTTGATGTTAAATCCAGGTCAGTATCTTACTTCAGTTTGATGAAGAGATAATAAACCATAAAAGGCTTTTCTTCCACTTTAAAGCGCCTTAGTGGCGGTAATGTAGACCAACCAGGATCCAGTCTGACGTCCGGCCTGCTGCTCTTCCTCACTGATCACTCTGCTTGATTTTCTGGCTCCACAAACAGAAGAAGAAATAAACCAGAACCTTCTAACTGGGACAAGATTCTGAGGTTTTCACAGATTAAAAAAACTTTTCTGGAAGCTGTTAGCTCCAATGCTAATCTGCAAACTGACTGAAATCTGTTTGAAGAAAGCAAAGCCGTCCCATAATGAAACCAAAATGGTTCCCAGTGAAATCAGCTGGTTTGTCGCATCTGGATGTTATGAAGAAAGTTCAATCATTTTCCTGTGATAAAAACATTTTCTTTGCTTTGCTGGGATTTCTGAGTTTTTATCAAAAACCAGCTTTTTGTTCCATTTGTTTCCTGTTTAAGCAGCTTGTTTTTCTCTTCCTCTTGTAGATTTTATTCATTTTCAGGCAATTTTTTATTTATTTATTTTAATTTACACGCGGCTTATTTCCAATTATTAGTGTGAATCAGTAACAGATCTGAATTGTTCCACTGAGCAGGGCAATAATTTAAAACGTGTCAATATACAGATTTTTAACAGTTGACAGGATTACATTATTTAAATTATATCAACTTTATTTAAATATGGTCTCAATTATAGAAAGGTGACACACTGAAAATTTGATCTGAAAAGGTCTTAAGGTTTATTTACCCTGAATTTCAGTTGGTAAATAAAATGATCTGCTGATGGAAAGAGAATTAAAATAAAATAAATAGATATCACGCACTTTAAATAAGAGACTGCAGTTTTTTATTTTTATTTTAAATATAAATGGCCTTATTTTAATGGTTAGATCAAGGAAAAATGCTCTTATAAGAAAAATTAACTTGGATTTCAACCTTTTAGTGTAAAAACTGAGTGAAGTGAAACCAGAGAATTGCAGTAATCTGTTAAAATAACAGATAATTCAGAAGGAAGACGCTTTCAAAAATCATCTTTCATCTGTTTTTCTGACGCTGAACGTGTTTTAATGTGTGGCTAAGAGAGAGAGAGATGGATTGTGGGTAATAACAGACCTGTGTGCTTCCCTTCCTCATGTAGCCATGATGTAAAGCGGGCTTCAGCCCATTCAGGCGCTCATCACCCTGTAAACCATGACTGTATATATCTGAACTTATCTGAAATAACTATTTTAATGCAATAGCAGAGTGTACAGTAAAAAAATAAATGGGGTCCATGCCCCCCCACCGTGTATGAAGACAGAAATAAAGGCCCACGTTAAAGAGCATGAAGAAGCTTCCTGTGGTCTTTGTCTCCATGACAGCCGACAGCGAGGCGGGATGTGTGAACAGAAAGACTTTATTTCCTTTACAATATCATCTCGGTTACATTCGTATATAAACTTTAAGATTTTTGTTTATTGTTTTCTTTTCTTTTTTTTTTACAGAATGACAGCATTATTTTAATCCGATTGCATTTCGACAAAAGAGTACATGCATCTAAAAAAGAACAGCAATAAAAGGAGAAATGTGTGGATGAACATGTGTGTGGGGGGGCGGGGCGGGGTGTGG